TGATTTATGTAATCTTCCCATAAAACTATTTATTATTTAATATATGATAATGTATTAAGTATTTTTGTAAGTTAAAAAATTAGATTTTATAATAAACAAATGTTCTATTTTATATTTTTACAACGATGAGTAAATTCATTGAATTCGTTAATAAATAAGATTGAACATTAAAATAAAATTGTTTTAACTTTTTTTCTTTTTCAGTACTGACTTGCTTACTATGAAATATTTCCTTTATAACTGAAAGCATAGAACTTGTAGAGTTAATGCATGTGACCACTCTCATGAAAACGTACATCAATCTCTATGCATTTTGTTGTTTATAAGCGGTCAATTCAAACAAAAATTTCATAATTGTACATATTGTAATACAAATTTCACAATTTTGAGAACTATGCCCATGTTTGGGCTCCATTAAAAAGAAATTTTGGGAGAAACGTATTTTGGAATAGTCATTTTTTGGAGAACGTAGGGCTAAAAAATAAGAAATTTTTTTAGATTAACGTATAAATTATTTTATAGAAGAATATGTGTTTGAAAAAATGTTTTTAAAAATATGGTTTTTTTGAAAAATGGAGCCCAAATAGGGGCTATGCATATGCATGAGTCACCTACTTTAGATGAGTCGTGAAAATTTTTACCCAATTTCGTTAATTGTTGAAAAAAATATTTTTTCTTGATGTGATGTTTAAACTTGTGTGAAGGGGTCAGAACTAAAGAGCATACAATGGAAAATTAGGGAGATCACTGTGGTTTCTATGTTGCATTTTGACAAGCAAATGCAAAGACAGTTGAAGCAATCAAAACTTTCGCTAAGCGAGACTGAATATTGAATATTCATCTCTAAAAGATTGATATTTAAACATGTAGCATAATTATGAAAAATGTTCTACCATAACTGATACAAGATCTCTGAAAGAAAAAAAAAAATTGGCATATCTCACACTCATATCTTATAGTTTAATAAACAAGGAATATGTTGGCAATGAGAAGGAATTCAAATGATGACAAATTGAGTGACTAATACAATTTTGTTTTAAGTTTCCTTTTATAGTCCATCATGGATGTTTCAAGTGGAGATAGCCTATAAATGCATTTCTTTATTGTCCCTAGAATTTTGCTTACCTGTGTTTTTTTATTCCTCCAAAGGTACGTTTGGAGAAGGAAAGATGTCACTAGAAGACTATATCTTCTCTTTGAAGACAATGGTGGTACAAACATTCTCGCAAAAGCGGTTGGAATTGGCAAAGGAAAGCAAGATCTCACAGGAATGTCCTTTGAAACTCAAATTCCAATCAAGTTATCCCAATTCCCCCCAGAGATGCCAACTGGCAAAGCGTGCTCAGCTCTTACACCCAGTGAAATAGTCAAGTTTTTAACTGAAGACTACCACCTTTGCAAACCTCAGTCAAATGATCTATTCTGGGAAGCTGTTTGGCCTCGTTTGTTGGCAAGAGGTTGGCATTCGCAGGAGCCTAACAATCATGTTTATGCTGCTGTTTCCATGTATTCTTTCGTTTTTCTCATGCTCGGCATCAAGAAATTTTCAAGAAGGAAATTAGTGCAAGGCGAGCCATATTTTGATTGTGTGGCTGATGTCTTGAGCCAATTTGCCAGATAACCCAGGTTGATTGAACTGAAACTGAAGATGAAGGGAACAAGAAAAACAAAGAGTACAATTTTTAACCAGTGAAAGTAAGTTGGTGAAAGATGATCATGATCTGCCTACAAAGCAACGCCATTTTATCTTCAACATCGCACCCCTATAATGCAGATGCCATGACATTTACGGCTGTAGATACAAGTTCTGTGGATCGAAGACCTTATAAAGTAAGAGAACTGAGGAGCCTACATTAGAAATCTCTAACATGGTAACTTCTCAAAACTGTCCTGAAGATAGCGACAAGGATACTCATGATGAGGCTACCGAAGAATTTAATATTGTTGATACCATGTTAGTCGATGACAGTGAGACAAATAATACCAATCTTGGTACAACTAAATCCAATGTGGAAATGCTTCCTGGCAGGAAAGGTCGTGATACTACATGGCATGGATGTGATATTTCTCTGAGTAACTTGAAGAACGAAAAGGATTTAAGCAAGGACAAGCACCAAGAAATTTTCTAACATCCGAGTTGAGCCGGAAACTGAAACGGGAAAATGTGGACAGTATAGCTCCTACTTCCAAACGTCGTGGGAGACTAACTGCTTGTAGTGTAACAAGACGAGCAATGGTGTCACTCATTCAACAGTGGTTCCTATTTGGAAAATGAAAAGACCAGTTTCTGCTCTGATATTCATGAATTGTCATACACCAGTTCATCAAAAGGTAGCCCTACTGGGAGTGTTGAATATACAGAACCCCATCAACTGAACCTTCAGACTCATTCACTGATTGATCTAAACTTGCCTAAAGTTTCCCCAGACCTTGAGAATGGTATCTTAACAACAGAAATAATTAAAGAGGAAGTTGGCCGAACAATCAAGCGGATGATCATTGTCCACTGAAATTCTCTACAGTCAAGGTTGTGCAGCATGAATCTGCGGAGGCAAAGCACAAGAAACCGACCTATAATAGCAAGATCACTGGAAGCTCTGGTAAATGGATTTTTAACTACAAATCACGAGAGATCCTGACACCAAGACCTCCATGGTATGCCAGTGACGTTTTGGCTCTTAATGAGTTCAGGTCGAGATGGTGAAAATGGCAGCGACAGCAACATGTGCAACAAATTTCAGGTTTTAACAGCCGAAAATGGGAACATGGTTTCAGGCCTCTGAGGTGCAGCCATGGGAAGTCAGAAATCCACTTCAGCAGTTTGGGTTTTTATATCGCAATTCTTGTATGAGAGCATTCATAGTGTGTCTCAACCACTCTAAGCTTGTCTCTGAAGAATAGGAATCTTGAATGAGTAAGAGGCTTTGTCAACAAGTCTGCTGTCTGGTTTGAAGATGGTATAGTGGATTTCCAACTCCTTCCTCAGAACTTTGTTTCTTACAAAGTGAACATCCAATTCTATGTGCTTGGTGCGAGCATGATACACCAAAATTTGAAGCCAATGCACTTGCACTCAAATTATCACAGCAATTTATGGGAATTGACTTTTGTGGTATACTCAGTTCCCTAAGTAGTGATTGTATCCATGTAATTTTTGAGGCACCATGAGCTAATGCTCTATACTTAACTTTTGTACTTGATCTGGCAACTACATGTTGCCTTTTGGAACACCAAGATACCATATTATCTCCAAGATACACCCTGCTGTAGACCTTCTGTCATCTGGGCATGATGCCCAGTCAGAATCCGCAAATGCTGTTATTTCTAGGCTGTCACTTTTTTGAATAACTAAGCCATGATTCAGAGTACCATTTAAGTATCTTCCAGTGGGCATCTGTGGGAGCTTGAAGAAATTGACTCATTTTGTTCATAGCATAGGTAATGTCAAGTCTTGTATGTGCTATATATTAAAGGCCACCAACAACACTTCTGTAAAGAGTTGGATCTTTCATGACTTGTCCTTCAACCTTAGAGATCATCTTCCCAATTGCCACAGGTGTTAAGCTCGATTTTAGGTTCTCATAGCCAAACTTCTTAAGCAGACCAATTACATGTTTTGTCTGAGTTAAGTACAGCCTTGTCGCACTTCTACACACCTCAATACCCAAGAATTGGCTAGACTTTCCATATTCTTAAGAGCAAAAAATGCATTCAGTTTATCAATGAACACTCGTAACTATTCACCATTATTTTCAGCTTCCTCCACCTAATGATGAGAGAATTGTTCGATTAAATTAATAATTATTTTTCCAGCGTTATAAAATGTTACATATTTGGAATAGGGTTCAAACTACGCATTTATTCTCAACATTTTTTACTTTACGTCTCTGTGCATTGTGATGGATCAATTATTACATATACTGCACTAACAAAATAATTAGATTGTGACCATGAGCCAAAAAATAATATGGAGAACTATGATGTTGACATTATGGGTAATAGCATCCCCTAAACAGAAATGAGAAGTACTTTGTTCACAATTAAATTAATTGGAGGCTTTTAACAAGTAATAGTGCTAAACCATTTATCGACATCTCAACTATCTCAACTAAAACTTATTAAAATGTTGAGACTTATGCCCACTAATATTAACAAGTCACAGTCTTGATTATATAATTTGAAAATTATGCTCCTAATTTAAAATTGGCTAATTAGCACAAAACGTCCCTACCTTTGGGGTTGATTTCAGAAACCATTCATACCTTTCATTTCTTGGCATTTATGCCCTTATCTTCAACATTTTTGTGCGCTGAACGTCCTTTTCACATGTTTTTGACGATTTTACCCCTCATTCAAAT